GTGGTGATAGCATATGTGTGCACAACCTCAATGTACTCACATACCTTAAGTTCTCACTAGTGTACATGGGCTAATAAAGAGATTAAACAAACATACTGAATGTGATATGTATACGATGGGTTTATAAATGGTTATCAAAAGTAAGTGGTTTGAAATGTGTTACATGAACCATATGATGTTATATGTGTTTCTTAATGATAATGATGGTATATGTTTATGTATGCTTTATGTTATATAAAATATTATATGTTTTATATGCCTCACTAAGTCATCGACTTAGCGTGTGATTGTTTCACACGTAGGTTTGGAAAGCGAAAAGAGAAGTAAAGAGGAACAAGACAAGTCAGTTCTCCTTACCGAATGTCAGATCAGAAGAGAGGTGAATAATATGTATTTTTGTATATAAAGTTCTAGTTGACATGTAATCAAAAGAATATATTGTATAAGCTCTGAATAGTTTTGTAAATGTTTTGAATAAGTTAAATGTTATAAAAGTTTTTAAAATTACTCACTATTTTATACGAATAAATGTTTGAAAAGTCATTGTGACACTTCGGACTCGTATCCGGGTTGGATACGGGTTGAGGGTGTTACAAGCCCTCTCCCCCGTAAACTCTCTCACAATTCCCTCTCAACCGAGAAATTAGTATAACAATTCTTTCAACCAGTAAATAACACCCGACAATCCTCTTATATTTGATTCATAAGTTCGTTCGATCTTTCGTTATAAGGTAATTTTGTTATAATATTTTTTATTATACTTATTGTTTATTATGATTATTTGAAAAAATATTATAGTAATTGTTTTCAATTAATTTCTGTGTCAGTTCAAGGGGAAAGCGGGAGGATACGTCGAAATATTTTTGCGGTGCAGGTAATAATATAAAATTATATTATTTAAATTGTTTATGTGTAAAAATTTTATTGTGTTATATTTTTCGTTCATATGTTATTTATTTAATCAGGTTTTTTTCAGTTGTTTTTTTCATATATAATATTGTCGCACTTTTAAACTCTAAGAATGACGCGACTTTCAGCTATTGTTTATTATGATGGAGAAATTCGAGAATATGAAACCGACGTTGTTTTCATATCAAATGAGCGTGTTAAAATATCATTCAAGAGAAACATAACTCTTGAGGAGCTGATAACGAAGATTTCGAGGAAGGTTCATGTTGGAAGTAGTAGAAGAATGTTGTCGCTGCAGTACAGATTTCCGACATCATTGTTGTCATTAACTTATACAGCGTTCGAACTATCGAACAATGATGATGTTGAAATGATGGTTGATTCTCAAAGTAATTATCCAGACGAAGATGTTGAGATGTATGCAAAGTTTGTTCAAGTGCGTGTTGTTCGGGGTTAGTCATTAAGCTCCCACTATGGGCTGGCTGAACAAGCTGATCAAGTTGACAGTCCGACTACAATAATGTGTAATGATTTTAATGCCATAATGAGAAATCTGCATCATGGTTCCGTCACATCAACCTCAATGGGGAGACATTCATCCGCAACTCCTTACGATGTGTACCGAGGTGGGTCCATGAACAATCCGTATGGCAACATCGTGTCCAGTTCAAGAGGAAGGCATTCATCTGCAAATTTCTTTAACCTTAATATGGAGATGACATCGACACAACAATATGTGCAGTTTCCATTTGACACGATGGTTTCAAGCTCCAGGGGGAGGCATTCAGCTGCGAGTTTTTTCGATCTCAATGTCGATATGCCTTCTAGTTCAAGGGGAAGACGTGCAAGTAGTAGGTTCTTTGAACTAAATGTGGATAGAATGGATGAACCATCATCTCCACCAGAAGAACCGCTTCGTGAGCCTGGTGCGGATGGTGCTGAGACTGGACTATTTATTCACCTAGAATCACCGCAATTCAACTCCGATGATGATGATAATGCATATGAAGTCCATGAAATGTGCGTCATCCCCGATATCATATCTCTATTCACCGAAAGCCCCAGGTGCATAGAAACATCCTCAAGTGTAATCGTGCACTCTCTGCACGGAAGATGGAATGTGTGGGTCTCCGGCCTCCACTGCTCCACTAAGACAGCAATAAGGTTTGGTTCTATCTTACAGTGACCCTAATATCTACCTATGTGACCGAATCTAGCCTCTACTAAATACGGCAAGACACGACTAGGTATCACTAACTTAAGGTTCCTAATAAAAGGATCTAATACACGGTCCCTCTCCTAAAATTAAATAATTACAAAAATTAATTTTTAAACTAATAATCATGCATTAAATAAATAAATAAATTATGACTAATAATTTAAATTAAATTAAAACGTTAAAATGTTACCGTATCAGCAAAATGACGCGATATATGATTTCCATCCAAGCGAAGTAGACAGCCTTCCATTTTATATCTGCAAAAAAAATTAATTAAATAAAATAATAAAAAATTTTAAAACTTAAATAAATCAAAAACAAAATATTAAATATAATAAAATATACCTTAAACAGTTATAAGAGAATATAAGAGTATTTGAGAGAAGTTGAGAGGATTTGGTGTGATGAAAGTAATTGAGAATGGGGGTATTCATAGGGAGGGGGTGTGGGTGTGAACGGTCGGGGTAGGTGGGTAATTAAACCTAAGGCACGCCGCAGGGGGCACGCCTTTCTGACGCGTGTTAGATTTAAAGGTAAGACGCGTCGCAGGGACCGCGCTTTAGACACGTGTATCCATGTCAGCATAAGGCGCGCTGCAGGGGGTGCGCCTTACCCCACGTGGCGTCAGATCAGTGTAAAGCGCGCTGCAGGGGACACGCCTTACTGCAAAGGGTGTTAGATCGAGAAAAATAGTGTGAATGGTGCCTGACAGGGAAAATTAATGTTAAAATGTGATATTTCGGGAAAAACGCCAACCTCCCGGCCCTTGCAAACACTTTTAATGTTATTATTTTAATTTGAAATATTCGAAAGGATATAATTATATCTAATTTTCAAAGTTAAATAGATAATAAAAATATTTTAATTTGATATTTTAAAAGAATGCTTATACTACTAATATTTATATTAAAATATCTTTTTAATTTATAATTTTAAAAAATAATATGAATTTAATTTAAATATTAAATTTATCAATAAAATTCACTCTTTTTCCAACTAATTTCCAACTAATATATAGAGTGGAATCCATACTACTCATCTCTAAACAATCACTACGCTGTAAACTCAATTCGGGAAGGTTTGCGTTCATCAATCATATCAGTCCCTCTGTTTGTCCTAAAAAATGGTCGATAAATGAAACCCTAAGAGTTTTATTGTTGCCGTCATTGTTAATAGGCTCAGGCTGGAGTCTAATATAGAGATCTTTGGGTAGTCTAGGTGCAACTTGTTGCCAACGATAAGTGAGCTCCGTTCCACCATGTTCCAATATATGTCTTTTGCACAGTGAATACTGTAACCCTAGGCGGAACACGAACCAACTTGACCTTCCATGAAAGGATGATCCCAAAGCTGGTTGTTTTCCCTCCTCTTATTGCTCAAAACACATATTCTCCCATTGATTCATGGTTAAGGATCCTTTCATTGTCGTCGATCAACTGTGCGTCGATAACATTATCAATGGAAAGCCCGTATGAAACCCATAGCCACCTACACTGAAGTGTCCACCAATGTCGAGAGTGATGCAAGTACCAGATGGGAATCCATGGACTTTACTTTTCTCAGCTATCCTATAATAAAGTTCGCCGTTAGTGGCACCCGCCTGAACCCAGGCCGTCTAGCTCGCCATATCAACATCGATAGACCGGAGATTGAACATGTCAAGAATGACAAACAGAATGTCGGAAGTGTACGAAAGTCCTTCGAAATCATGGCCGCCACTTGGAATCCTTATTTGTAAACCGTGGCGCTTGGCACAAATAACGGTGGCTTGAGCATGGGATGGATGCAAGGGCCAAGGCAGTTATAATGGCCTCCGGTCTTTAGGTTGCAGATAAGAAGATTCGAAGATTATTTGCACGTAATTGATAAGTAAATTGAAAAGATGAACTATTGGGAGTTAATACAGTGTTAGCTATAGAGGTAGAATGGTCGAAATGTATAGAAAGACATCGTAGAAAATTGTCGACATCGATTGAATCAGAAGATGTTACCAATGAAATTGATACCAAAACAAATAGTGAAGCTGTGGGAATGATGAAGCTCAAAACTTTCATTTTATTTTGTGCATAAATGTAGAGAAATTTAGATGATATTGGTGCATTCATGTTCAATGGAGTACTATATATGGATATAGAGGGGAGAGGCCGTTGCACATTAGTATTTAATATATTTGGTGAAAAATATTTTTTAAAATAATAATAATATTTGAATAATGTAAAGTAACATTTTAAATTAATTTAAAAATTAACTACTTAATACCATTTAGATATCACTTAATGAATACACATAGTAAAGAATAAATAGTCTCTAAACTCACCATTTTATAACACAAGTTGCATTAATAGTCAACCTGTGTTTATGGTTTTGACTATTTTATCCTAAAAGAAAGGTAAAATAAATTATTATTATTGTTATATATCTTAGATCATGTGTTCCACAAGTATAATGTTTCAAGAATTACGCAATTACGCGGTTGAGAAAATTAAACAAATTAGGAAACAAATGGGAAGTGCATGTGTTTCTAGAACTACATGATTTTTAATTTATTCATGTTTTATAGTGATAGAAAAAATTATAGATAAATATTATATTTTTATTTAAAATCATATTTTAAATTTATTCAGTGGCCTCTTTGATAAAATTAAATATTATTCTTTTTATATATCTGAACAGATATTAAAATATATTTTTAATTGAGACACTTTATCCGAATCTGAGTTTTCATAAGAAAAAGAAATCAAACGTTATCAATTGGATACAATTGAAATCCAAAATTGGAAGAAAGCCCTAACACTAATTCATATATTTTTGTGCGTTGGTAAAAGATGTAACAAGTGATAAATGTGGGAAGAAGTCATGTGTTGGGCCGAGAAACTAAAATCACGAGGATATTTTGGTTTCAAATTTATTGAAGGTGGTAGAAGACGATTGTTCAATGAATTGGTCGCTTTGGAAATGGCGGAATGCTTTGCTCATTCTTGAAGAAATTGTCAGGGTCTATCATGGCTTTCACACCCGCCAGCCTCAAGAAATTGTGCCCGAAATACTTAGTCCCGTATTCCTTGGTGACCTCGAAATCAGTCTCTCCGCTTTCGTTGCTGCCGACGTCGAGATCCCGGTAGTTGATGAACGCTTCTCTGGGGTTCCTTGATGCGTATGGCGCCATCGCACTGTACAGCCCTCTTGATAGCTCCACGTAACGCCCAGCAGCGTGAATACCTCCGTCGGACTGAGTCCAGTACACCATGTATTGGGCCATGAAGAGGTTCCCGCCACGGTGAGCAAACGAGGTTTCCTTCTCCGAAATCTCTTCCATCCTCCCACCGTAAGGGTTCAGTTGTACAATTATGTGTTCGATGTCGATCATCGCTTCCCACAACGTCTCCAGCCCTCGTTTAGGAATCACTGCTTTGTAATAGTCAGACTTTGTCTTGTAGTATACTCGGTTCACCTGCACTCTATCGAGCAACGCATCAATGGAGGTTCCATTAGGCAAACCGGCCCAATATAGGATCGATTCGACCCAACTCATCTCTAAACAATCATCTCGAGTCAAACCCAATTCCGGAAACTTTACGTTCATCAATCTTACAAGTTTACTAGTTTTTCCTAGAAAATGGCCGATGAATGAAACCCTAATGGTTTTATTGTTGCCGCCATTGTTAACAGGCACGGATTGAAGTCTAACAAAGAGATTTTTAGGGAGCTTTGGTGCAACTTGTTGCCAACGAAAAGCGAGTTCCGTTGCGCCTTGGTCCAATGTCCTTTGCACCGTGAAAACGGTAACCTTTGGTGGGACACGAACCAGCTTGACCCTCCATGCAAGGATGATACCAAAGCTAGTTGTTCCACCTCCTCTTATTGCCCAAAACACGTCTTCTCCCATGGATCTACGGTTATGGATTCTACCGTCCGCATCGATCAATTGTGCGTCAATGACATGATCGATGGAGAGGCCGTATTTTCTCATAAGAACCCCATAGCCACCTCCACTAAAATGTCCACCGATGCCAAGAGCGGTGCAAACACCAGATGGGAACCCATGGACTTTGCTTTGCTCGGCTATTCTATAATAAAGTTCGCCGGTTGTGGCCCCGGCTTGAATCCATGCCGTCTTGGTTTTCATATCGATATCGATAGAGTTAAGGTTGAACATATCTAGAATAACAAATGGGACACTAGAGGTGTAGGAAAGTCCCTCGTAATCATGGCCACCACTTCGGATCCGAACTTGCAAACCATGGCGCTTGGCGCAAATGACGGTGGCTTGAGCGTGGGATGGATGCAAGGCGGTTATAATGGCCACCGGTCTCGAGGTTGCAGACGATAAAATTCGAAGGTTATTCGCACGTAGCTGGTAAATAGATTGGAAAGAGGAATTGCTGGGAACCAATATGGCATCGGCAATCGGAAAGGAACGATGAGAATGAGTAGAAAGACATCGGAGGAAATGATCGATATCGATTTGATCGTGAGATGTCACCAATGAGATGGACAACAAAACGATGAGAATAGCAGAGCTTAAAGCTTTCATGTTTCCGAATGAATGAGGTGCATTGTTCTCATGGTTCGATGGTGTATATATAGGAGTGGAGGGCTGCTGCCGCCATTTGAATCACACTTCTAAAACTGTTTCAAATAAATTATATATTTGATGGAAAAACAATATAAGAGAATGGGGATTGAGACACGTAAATCTAAAAAAAATTAAAAATAATTATAAATTTACCTATTGATAGTAAGTTACTATCATCGTGTCTGCGTCCGTTTCCTTCCACTTTATGTTAAATTTTTTAAGAAATTGATTTGTATGTTACTTAGTTGGTTTCATTGAATACATAATTAATTCATTGATTCAAACGTATAAATTTGTTCAAAATTAATATTATTTTTCTTAAATAAATAATTTTTATTTTAGTTACATAAAATTTAGGTTAGGGTGGCTCCCCTAATCAAGGGTCAGGGCATAACCTAAGACCTAGTTAGGATTTATATAAAAATTTACAGATTGTTCGTCAGCAGTAACGGTGATAGGATTCGAACTTGATCTTACAAGCTCAAATTCCTAAATCTTAACCACTAACACCTATTGGCTTAAATACATAGTTTCAATACTTTGATACCTTCTCTTATGTCTCTCATAGTATCAACATTATTATTATATTTTAATAAAAATAAAAGAAAATTGTAATTTAACATGAATTTTCTTGTATATTTGACGAAATGTCATCACAACCATCGATCGACACTCAAAAGTCCTGTCCCTTAGCCCACTCTAACAGGGCAAAAAAAACTATGGTAACTTGTAATTAAACTACCATTAACTGCTCCAAAATTTCGACGGTTAAAACTTCATTTTCAACATCTAACCTAAGAAAAAACAAAGACAAAATTAAGTGCGTCCATGGCTTCCATATGGATTTTTCTCATGTTCATCTCTTCCTTGGAAACAGTCGTAAAGAACCTTGCGAATTTGCACCCACCTCCAGATTTCAACACCAGTCACTTCAAACTGTTTGAAAATTCCATCACTAAGGTACTGTGGTTCATCTCCTATGGACCTCGATACCATCTTTAAGTTCACCATTGTCGCCAGTCACCTCTGCAACGAGTCGAAGAACCCAAACTGCATTGAAACATTCCCGAAAATCGACCTTCGAAACCATCCCAAGATCTCCCCGCTCTACTTATCGATCACTTTTTTCTGGAAATATTGTCCCAGCACCGTTTTTTTCATTGATCTCTCCAACAATTCTCTAAAGGGTATTTTTCCCATTGATGTCCTGTTCTGCACGCAAATACAGTCTCTTCATTTAAGCCACATTGGCCTTACAGGGGATGTCCCAATAGAAAACTTATCCCGTTTGACAAACCTTACGGTTCTTAATATTTTATACAACCGTTTCTCTGAGGCTAAGATATCAGATTCTCGATTCTTCAAACAGTTTGATCCTTCGTGTTTTTTCCAGTCCGGGATCATCCCGAGTCACCAAAAGTATAAGATAAAGGCAGTGATGATACTTATCAGTTTCGTTGGTCGTCATTTTCATGGTTGGTTGCTTGTGGCGGCTGTGCTTTCGTAGGCTGGATTACTTACCGTGACTGCTTCGGAATAACAAGTTCACGCCTGCAATGCTGAAAGCAGCCACCAATGGATTCTCAAAGAAGAATATAGTGGGAAAAGGTGAGGGTTTTGTTGTTTATAGAGGGGTCTTAAGGGATGGTACTCAAGTGAGAGTCGAAACCTACTAGGATAGCAACACATCAAGGGAAAAGTGTCATAGGGAGTATGTTGAGGAATGCAAAATTTTGGTTCAGTTGCGCCATAAGAACTTGGTACTAGTTTATTGTTGGTGTAGCGATCGACACATGAGGGCCCTTGTCACCGAATGGATAGGCCAAGTGAGCGTTGACATGTGGCTATCAGAAACAGGTCCATCTTGGAAACATAGATTCAAAGTGTCGGTGGGTGATTTGAAAGCACTGTGGTATTTTCAAGACCAATGGCCTGAGATCGGTTGTGATGTTAAAACTAGCAGCGTTTTGCTCCATGAAAATGGTGAGCCTTTGATTGCAAGGTTTAGGGTTGGCGAAATCAGCATCACAAAGAGTGCTCGCTCGTGCTCGAGATGATAACGGACAGGACACTGCAAGATGAATTTGAAGGGGACGAAGCAGGACTCATCGAGTATGTTAAAATGGTTTACCCTGGAAAGTTGCAGAAGGTGATTGATGAGAAAATGAAACTGACTGAGAATACACTTGATCAAACCAGACAGACAATATGCATTGGCTTAATGTGGGCAGATCATCAATCATGCGGGCAACTTAGCTTGGGTAAGATTTACAACATGATCGCTGAAGTCCACTCTCGTACATAGTGAAAGAAACAAATGCGTCAACATATTTTAGTGGCAATTTACATAAACTCAACTAGTTGTTCATGTATATATCATTTATCCAACAGTTGTTCTTATCAAGGAAAAAGCATTTTCTTACACTCGAAGATGAAAAAACACGAAAAACAACCAGGGGGAAGCAAATATATGATCATTCAAAGCAAATGATAAAAAATTTCCCCATCATAAGATACAGTGATATGCATGCAGGACGCGAAAAGCTGAAAACTAAGCGCTTCTACACTAGAACATAGCAACAAATCATTTAATGATGGTGGGTCTGTCGGCTTGCACCTTAGATCGGGTCTTACGAACTTTCTTTGGTGCTTCAGTTGTTAAAGCATACATCTTCACAGCAAACAATTCCTCAGGCAATCCTTTCTGGTCCTGTTTTCAAGAATAATAACACTAAATATAAATAATAAGAGGATAAATTATGCCGCCGGAGAAGCGGAATTGCGTTCAAGGTAATTCAGAAAGATCAGCTTTTGAAACGGACGTCCTCGTCAACTCTACTCGGCAGCATAAAGTATAAGCTAGAACTAAGTCTCGTAAAGCAACAACTGTTGATTAAATGAGAATACTTTAACGGATTATTCCGTTTAAAAAGCATTATAATTTATCAACTGTTACTAAGTGCAGGGTTTATAAAAGAAGGAACCTTCATTTTATACAGGTACAATCCACATTGACGAAATAGATCTTTGAAATCTCATGATGGTTCGGTCTTCTTTATCCAAAACAAATCCTGCTAATGAGTAACAATAATAGCGCAGTGAAACTCATTTTGCCACGGGAAGAATTCCAGAACTCCTTAAAGACCGACGAAGATTTATAGTTCCTATAGAGTTGACTCCGGTTACAGAAATACAACCATTTTGCCAAGTTCACTAGTTTGGTATTGCATATCACTTTATGGCCAAGGGCGAATAACAGGAGTGGGAAAATAAGAACCTTTTTACATTTTACTCCTTTTTAAGGGACAAGATTCTTTTATTCAAGGGAAGGCGCAGATGAATAAAAAAATGAACAGTAGTTACCAAAAACCAACTTCATGAAAATTTACCAAAATATAGGAAAGTTTTAGGAATGCAAAAAAACAAATACTGGAGAATTTCTCGAGGAAAAAAAGGGGGGACAATGAAGCATACTATGGAAATCAAATCATAAATATAATACCATTTCTCGCAATGTTCTCTTGCTATATAAAGAATCCACCAGGTTTAAGGCCTACCTGGAATCAACATTAATCAGCGTATTAAATTCAATTACGAAAAATAGAATCTTTCAACTCATATAACCAAGAATAGTCGATAACCTCGAGGTATAAATAGAAAGCACTGCGATAATCTGACAATTATTCAGATAATCTCGTTGAGAGATTCACCCATCAAAATCAGATGTGTAATACGAATTCATTCGAATTAATTAAGACAAAACCTTGAATTAAGAAGAGCAAACAAAAAAATTATCTGACAATTAGTCATTCAAAAATCACAAAGCAAGGCACTTCAAGAATACAGTAGAGAACAACCCGGAAGTTGTCCCGATAAGAAGATTGATTCACCTTTGCTCTCTTAAAAAATGAGATAAAGTCGTCATCCGTCAGACGCCCAATGCACCACTGTCAAGTTTCTAATTTATATGCAAAAATTAACATAATCAACTCGCATTGACGATGAACAAAATCACCATAAATAGCTGAGGGCTCATTCACAACTCAATCCACTGCAACCCACCCAAGCCCTGAACTCCCTAAACCCCGAACCACCCCCGCCTCCCACACACACACACAAACCACAACCATAAAATAGAGTAGAATATTTGCAAAAAGAATTTACTTGAATCCATATCTGTTCTGATAATCTAGGTTTCATATTGAGCAGTACAAGACACATGATTGAAGCCCATCCCAGATTCAAGTGTCAGATCGAAAACCATATTTGAAATGTTAATATTCAATTTTATATGTTTTTTCTAGTATTATATCTTAACAGAATTCCTGATTGAGGTGAATGCTACATGTCTGAAATCCATAATTTTGGCTTAAGTGAAAAGTTGAAAATATATAGCTTAGATGGACTCGACCGTAGTTATGAATACTTCAACATATCAATAAGCATGTAGAGTCTTCAAATACATTACTTGAAGCGGGACACAGTAGAAATTAGTAGCCTTGTGCACGTCAGAGGCAACAAAATGTTCCTGAGACAAACTTGAGTTCAACTCGGTTAATACTCGAATCAAATGGATTCAACTTGAGCTCTTAACGAGCCGGAGCGAGTTACTTGATGCCTGACTCAAAAAGCTTATGAGCAACTCTATAAACAATATATTAAATTTTTTAATTTTTTAATTTATTTTATTTTGAGTTCAAGTCGGGTTTGACAATTTTAAGCTTGCAAGCTTTCCAGTCAATTCGAGGTCAGCTATGAACAGTTTGAGTCGAGTCGAGCTCAACAATACCCGAGCTCGACTCTTATTTACAACCCTACTCGGAGCAATATTTTAGTTAGGATTTAGAGCCATTAGCAGGTATTAGTACTGATTCCATGGACTTAAAATGTACATGTTTGTAAAAACAGTTGTGCCTCTATTCTGACTCAACAACATTAATACTGATGCTTTATAAAGT